TTTGCAAAAACACATAGAAAACATTTAAAAACCATTGCAAACATACGCAACATTCGGATAAAATACTTGCAACATATGTGCGGAACATATGCAACATCCAGATAAAAACACTTGTAATATACGTGTATAACCATTGCAATATATGTAACATCCCCGATCTAGTTTTGCACATCCATATGAAACATTTGAAACACATATGAAACAACTGAAACACTTGAAACATGTCTGAAAACGCCTGAAACACTTGAAACACAGCGCTGTCGGTGCCCACGGCCTACCTGTGTGGGGAACTGCGGTGACGTAAGCACAGGCCTCCCCTGCCTCCCCTTCCATGACGGGCGAGGTGGATGGGGGCACGACACTGGGTGGTGGCGCAACCCGGGCCCGCGGAGCAGCGCTGGTATGGCGTCGCCGTGTTGGAGAAGTCCTCAACGGGCGGCCCCTGCGATGGAGAAGGCGACCGTACAACAACGACGGCCATGGGCTGTAGCCCAGAATTTGCGTTCGTGCTCTAGAAGATAAAGGAGAAAGCTCTTGCGTTTGTGCTCAGGAAGATGAAGGGGAAAGGAGAGCTGAGAGGTTTTATATACGGGTCACACGTACACGGGGTGATGAATTGAGTGAATAAGAATGGACGGGATGGTGTTAGTTAGATAAAATTAAGGTCTCTGTGTCCGTCTGATACTTTGGAAAAGCGTCGGATATATACTCGGATCAAAACATTTCTGTATTGTTATTTTTTATTTTGATACCTTGTTTAGACCCCATTTACATGATAAGTGTGGCTGTGTGAAGTGGGTAGAGCACATGGAGAGTAAATCTGTTTTTTTTAGAATGAGAGTAAATCTGTTCTATGAGTGAGAGCAGACTGCGTTGCGCATCAAACAGAAGACGGATGAAGAAACTCTATATCAGGGGATACAGTTTGCGTGGTTTTAGAGGTCGATGAGGAGACGATATTTTAAGGAAAGGAGACAAAAGGGTCAAAAAAAAAAAAAGATCTTTCGTAAGGCTATGTGTATCCTTGCTATACAGAGGCTGGAAGTATTTTAAGGTCTTTGTATCATCTCGATGTAATGATCTTAGAATTAATAAAACTTTCCTTATCGAAAAAAATGAAAAGACAAGAAAGCAAGTATACAGGGTAATGCCCATGGTGGCCATCATGAGCATCTTCGGTACCCGCACACACGGTGGCTACCGTGCTAGAGAATCAGGGTAAAACTCTAGTCACCCTGCAAGGCTGCAACTGATGACTTGATAATCTGTTTTCTTGCTTTTTACTGGCTGTGCTATATATGTAGCTTGATATCCTGAAGAATTCTCTATAAGTAAATAAATCGTTTTCGTATAACATACGGAGTAGAATTCTAATCAAAATCCTAATTAATTTTCTGCTGACATCCCTCCTAAGTCCTGATTGGATGAGCCTCCGGGTTTCCCAGGGCATGCCATGTTTGCTGGTATATGCTTTCGATTGAAATCAAGGAACAAGTACAAAAATTCCTGGAACCGTACTCATCCAAACACCACCTTAATTTCCTTACCGATAAATGAACACCTCTTGAGTTGGTTAATAACTTATATGCCCTTTTATCTAAGTATAAAACTTTCAATTTAGTTTAATTTTCCAGTACAAATCATTTTCTGTTGTGAGAAAATTCAAGTCGTCAGCAAAACCTGGAGTGTAAGGAACGAACTTTTTGCAAATTATTACCATGCTTGATAAGTTTGTTCTGAAATTTTATTTCCCCTTCTAGGCATGTTTGCTGGCATGCATCGGGAACATTGACAAACTAGTGCAGGCCACGGCCCACGGCCTACTGCACCACTAAAGTTTTCCAAACGGGCCTGGCCCATCGGGCCAGCACGGGCACGGTGCTGATTTGGCCGGTCCGAAAACGGCCCGGCCCGGCCTCTCCCGTGCTCGTGCCAAGCACGGCACGGCCTCGTGCCCGTGCCTAGGCCGCTATGCTAGCCCGTTGGCACGGCACGGGCACGGCCCGCTCCAAAGGCCGGCACGGGGTCGGCACGGCTAAGAGCCGTTGGATGAAGCCCCGGCGAAGGCCGGCCGGATGATGAAGGGCTGCGGTGGGGCGCCTATATAAGCCAGGAGCCGCCCGGGGGAAGCTACTGTGCTCATTTCTTCCCCCTCCGCGCCGCGCGCACCTCGCTCTTCGGCTCTGCTCTCTCGTTCGAAACCCTAGCCGCTCACTCTCTTCTTTTCGCCGTCCGGTGGCTGGTGACAGCGGCGGTGGCTTGCACGGGCACACGGCACGGCCTTGTACACCCCTTCTCTTCTCTCTGACCGGCGATGTAGCTTAGTCGTTGAGATCTCCAACGAATCGTCTTCGTCTCTCTCTCGTCGCGCTCGTCGCGCTCGTCGATCTCGCCGGACTCCGGCGTCATTGGGGCTCCGCTATGATGCGTTGAGGTACCAGGACGCCGGATCTGAGCGATGTCGTCGTCGCCGTTGCCTCTGGTGCTCCGTCAAGCGAGGTGAGTTAGATCTGTTTCTTGTTGTTCTTCTTCTTCTTGATTCGCTGTTCTTCTTCACTTCTTCTTCTTGTTGATCTTGCTTTGTTGTTTTTTACTTCTTTTTCTTCTTCTTGATTTAACCCTAGATCTGTTTCTTTTTTTGAAGCCACTGGCTACAACATATGGTGGAGGATAAGGAGCTCGATGAGGCCTTTGAAAACCTTTATCTTGATTAGTCATTTATTTATGTAATGGTCTGTAATTTTAATTGGACTTGGATGCTTTGGACCTGTGGATTGGATGTAATGAACAATTGAATTACACTAAGGGGCTGGCTGCACTCTTTTTCCCTGTCCAGGGTTTCTCACAAGGGTGAGTTTTACCTGGACAGGTTTTTAATGAGGCAGCCATTGCACAGCCCTTCCTTTTGATATTTTGTTGCCTGGTGTTCTCTTCTTGATTTTGATTTCTTCATATTTGAGCTGTTCTCTGTTTTCTGAAATTTTGATGTGGTTTTGTGGGTTAGTGCCAAGGCACGGCACTAACACGCTGGACTGCCGTGCCCAGTGGCACGGCACGGCACGGTCTAGAGTGCTTAGTGCCGTGCCTGGACCAGAGGCTGAGCACGGCGGCACTACACGGCACGGCACGGCAAGGCTACCGTGCCTGACCGTGCCGTGCCTGGCCGTGCCGTGCCCAGCCGTGCTCGTGCCGTGTAGTGCCCGTGCGGCCCGTTTGGAAATCTTTATGCACCACGATCTCAGTGCTGTTGCAGTGCTGCTTCTGCCACGCCACTGTGCTGCGCGCGTCCTGAGTTGCACCTTGGACCGGAAGCTACGTGCGCCCAGGCTCAACTGCAGCCTGCAGAGTGCAGACCCGTGCCATGGGTGGTATGTTTAGATAGGATAGTAGGCAGTGGCGGAGGCAGGAATAATTTTTAGGTGTGACTGGAGTCTATATATAAAGATGAAACATATATATATAATATAACCATGCAAGGGCTCACTAGTACATTACATAAATATATATTAATTGTGATTAGTGAATATATTAGAAATCCAAAAGTAAAGCATTGCCACTTAAAATACCTCACTAATTAAGATTATGTTGTTGATTGATCACTCTAAGGGTATGTACAACCCACAAACGGGAGGTCGTCTGTAAGAGCCTAGGATCTGATGTACAGACAGTTAGAAAGACAGATCATACAACACATAGACGGAGGGTCGTCTACAAGCAGTTTAATGCTTTGTATGTAGCCAAGATGAATTATGAATATCAATTTGTATACCATTGTGTGGCCGTTTGATGGAAGACGGTTTAAGCATCCAGAAATTTAACAGTACAACAGAAATTTTTAACAGTACGGCACACTCAAGCTTGATAGCACACTCAGAAATTCAACCGAACAAAAGGGACTAGACTTCATAATAGTTCATACCACACTCAGAAATTTAACATTACAGCAAGGTAGATCATAGCAGATACTTCAACTGAACAAAAGGGAACAGACTTCAATACAATAGAATGCCATCCAGAACATACTCAGAAACTTCAATATATTAAATGCCGTCCAACAAGGTAGATCATAGCACATAGTTCAACTTGTATGCAGTCCAGAACATACAAGCCAAATGTTATGCTGTGCACAAAGCTCTTTCAGTCTAACACATTCAGCTGGGTATAATACATAATTCAGAAAATCATGCAACAATCATGTAAGAGCTGATTCTAGAGTAACTAGTTTTCAATTCAGAAAATCATCCCAAGTTCCCAACAATCATGCAACACATTCAGTTGGGTATAATACAGAGTGGCATATCTCAACTTTGTTCAGGTTAAACATGCATCAGACCTTTTTTTCATGAAAATCGTGTAAGAGCTCAGAAACCCATTAGATGGACGTTCATCGGCATCGGCTAGGAAGAGCAAGCTAGTTGGCGAAAATTGTGTGGTTGATTACCAAAATACTATAACTCCCCAAACCTTGAAACTAATAATACAAGAGTGTTTTCTAGCAATGCATGAATAACCATCAAGACTAAGTATGCTACAGGGCATAGTTAGTTTCAGTACCAATGCATATATGAAGTCCAAATTACCCAAACATTACATTCAGGCTATTGATTTTGTAAATGCAGAGATTCAGATAAATGAGACCACCACACAACAAAGATTCAGATAACTGAAATACTCACTCCATCACACTGTAAATGAAACAAAAGGAACACTGGGCAGCTATATGAAACTCTGAAATATGAAATCTGAACTATGAGCTGACACTAAAATTATTTGTGGAACTCTGAAAATATGAACTCTGGAATCTGAACTCTAAATTTTTTCATGTGAACTCTGAAATCTCAACTATGAGCTGACACTAAAATTATTTGTGGAACTCTGAAATCTGAACTCTAAAATTATTTATGTGAACTCTAAACTATGAGCTGACACTAAAATTATTTGTGGAACTCTGAAATCTAAACTATGAGCCGACACTAATCCAAATAGCATAAAGATAGAGATTACCATGATGGATCCCAACCTGCTGAACTCCCAAACGATGGAGAAATCGGATCAACGACGCCTAATTCCGACCAAGCAGTAGATGATGAAGGGGGGAATGGAAACCCACCATCCAATGATGGAGCTGTCGCCGCGCCGAGGAAAACAGCTCCGCCAGATCCATCAATGGAGGATGGAGCCGTCGCTGCGTTGTACCCGAGACCACCAAAGATAGGGCGGGACGCCGCTGCCGCCGACGCTAATCTGCTTCCACGACCTAGGGTTCGGCCCACAGAATCCGCGCCTAAGGCCGAGCCGCCACCGTGACCGAGGTTGCGGGCCACCACCGTCAAGCCACTTCCACGCCCGGATGTGTGCGCCGGGGCCGCTGCTGTCACCGTAGCAGCAGCCGAGGCGCCCTTGCTCTTCTTACTTGCGCCAACTAGCTTGCTCTTCCTAGCCAATGTGCTCAACATCGTGGTCGCCGAAGGTTGGCGGTGAACGGCGAGGAAGAAGAAAGGAACCGGCAATGCTTCACCTTCACTAGGTACATATGGAGAAGATTTGGGAGCGAGAGCACCTTCCCGCGCGCGCCCAAATCACACCCGCGTGCGCGAGCGCCCGGGATCCGCGCAACGACGAGTCGAGGAGGTGGCCCGTACATCGCTGCTGGAGCCATCTTCTTCTCCTCGGAGCACGGGACGTTCTTGTCGCCTCACGAGGCGACGTCGGCTCCGTCTCTACGCTCTCACGGGGTGTTTTCTGTAAAAACTGCGCTGAAGGGACGGGGTGAAGGGACCCGTTGTACATGCCCTAATGAGTCGACGATCGCTCTGACGGGCAAAGATTCGTGACCCTCATTCGTCGTCCGACTAGGCTGAGTCACCGATCGCCGCGACGAGGCCTCTGCACTCGCTACTAAGGATGAAAACGGTATGGAAATATCCCGTACCGAACCACATCGTTTTCTACATTTAATCCGATCGAATTCGTATTTTCGGACAAATTCGAATTTGGTTCGAAATTCGGAACATCAAATTCGAAATCAGAACGAAAACGGTTGAGACATTTTTTCGACCGTTTTCTACTTTTCTACTTTTAATTCGGAATATCCCGAATTCGAAATTCGGTTTAAACCAAATTTGGCCCAATACAAGTCCAACCTTAGAAAAATTATATCTTTTTCATACGATCTCGGATGAAGATGATTTTTATATGAAAATTGTAGCTCTCGACGAGATCTACATCTTTCTAGTTTTTAGTTTTTTCATTTGATGTCTTGAAGATGTTCAAAAAAATTAATCAAAGTCAGCGATATATTAATCGCGTACAAGCGCTTGTTGCCTTAAAAAAATCATATATTCCTTACATTGTGTCGAATGGAGATACTTTTTAAGAAAGTTGTAGGACTTGTTAATTATTATGTACTTGTTAATTGTTATGCACTTGGTCCTACGGGTCAATATTCCGTATTGATTTTTCGTATACCGACCGTGTTCGACATAACTCCGCTCGAATTAGTTCGTTTTCGAAATTTTTGATATTCCATAAGTTCGTGTTCGTTTTCATGTCCGGCTTAGTTCGTTTTCGAAATTTTTGATATTCCGTAAGTTCGTGTTCGTTTTCATGTCCGGCTTTATCGCTTTCGTTTTCGTTTTCGTATTTAAATGTAGAAGTAGAAAACGATTGAGAAGTTTTCCGACCGTTTTCGACCGTTTTCATCCCTACTCGCTACGGCCGATCCTATGATGCTAGGGTCTCTATCGTTGTGGACTAAATACGAGCAGAAGCCAACGAGACTATCATGTGGGCTGCTAGACAGAGCTTCCTTAGTTCCTTCCGTGGTGTTTGACAGGTCGACCAGCCAACCACCAGACCCAGCAGGCAGTAGGCCAGTTCGTACTTGACGTATATACACTACGTATACTTAGTTTTTTCTACAGAATTTAGGTATGGCGGCAGCCAAACCTTGCCAGATACCTGGCTCCACCCCTGATAGTAGGAGATACCTCTATATTGATGATTTAGGTTAGCTTTAAACATATTATTGTATAATTTTGACAGAAAATATCTTTTGACCGAGAGCAAGTTTGATGTACTCATTCCAAGATCACGTAAGATTGTCCTATTCATATTATGAGCTACGTACTAAAAATTAATGTCGTTAGCGAAGTTGTCTTAAACTTATAACTAAGCACCAACCTATAGATAATCATCCTGTTCACTTATGCTGAAATTTGACTTATGCTAATGTTTATGTTGATTTGTTGTGAGAGGAAAATATTGTTCATTTGCTGAAGAGTAGTTCAAGCGAACAAGGTGAATATATGTTTTTAGATCGAGCCGTTGACTCAATGGTAATGTTGCTGGTTGACTGGTTGTAGCATGTGCCCGCCTATATTCGAGTCACTCGAAGCAGGTGGGTTTCCACCCATATTTTTCTACCTCACGTGTTGATTGAAAAATTAATCAATTTTGCTAAAATTTTAAAGTATGAACATGATATTTTAAATCGAAGTATCTGACTTTTAAAGTGGACCTGCATTTTTCCTGCAAATTTATATATACTTTCTGTGCAAACTAATGTGTTATTATTGTTACAAACTCATAGGTTCAAATAGTTGATGGGTTGGGTTGAAAGAATAAAACTATACAGTGGTTTGGTGGGTTGACAAAAGAGTTAATTTGATATGGATTAAATTAGATAAATGGTGGGCTTCATCCCTATATATCATGTATATGTATAGTACAACAATACATTACCAGCAAAATAGATCAAAGCAGCACACATGTCACATGGAAAAATAAAAGAAAACTATACCTGAATATTTACTCCCTCCGTAGATCGGTCAAACTCCAACTAAATTAAGACTTTTTAAGTTTATAGAAAATATTATTAACATGTATGACTCCATATAGTTATAATATATATATTGAGACAAATCTAATAATACTTATTTAGTATGGTAATTACACTAGTGCAGGTTTGGATTATAGTTCCGTTTGGAAACCCCCTCTAGTCCCGATTTTCCAACCGAGACGGCCAATCCGGGACCAAAGCCCCCCTTTAGTCCCGGGCTAGCCAACCGGGATTGATTTTTTTTTTGGGGGGGGTTTAGTCCCGGTTCCTTATACCAACCGGGACTAAAGGGGTCACAGGGCGAGCCCACGGGCGACCATCCCTAGTCCCAGTTGGTATAACCAACCGGGACTAAATATCCCCTTTTTTGTTTTCTTTTTCTTTTCTTTTTCTTTTACAGTTTTTTTCCATTCAATTTGTTTTCATTTCAAATAGTTTTAGTACACGTATTATATATGCTATACTATTGTACGTCATCCATAAATAAGAACGAAACTAATGAAGAGCTTAGATATATATTACAATGATCATCCCCAGTCACCAAGTTCATACAAACCATCACAATTTAAAACAAGTCATTACAAACTAGATGCATGTCCAAGACTCCAAGTACACCCCAAAGTTCAACTACACACCAAGTTCATGCAAGCACAAGTTGACTACATCGAATTATGAAGTTGACTACGTCGTATTATGTAGTTGGTGAAGTGTAGATCGTCGATGTGGTATCCACAAACGTCATTGATGAAGTTCAAAGCATAGAATAATGCACTCTTCCTTACTTCAAAAGTACGAGCACAAGGTCTACTAAGAACAATGAACGACAGTGGGTCAGATTGTCCCCTCTTAGTGGCAAGCAACTTCGCCTGAAATCCTTCCATAGTGAGTGATAGCCAATCATCGGCATATTTCCATTCATAACCCAATGCATGCATTGTTTGGTTAAGAATGGCTTCAATGCTACAACCTATGTAGGTGAAGTCGTAGTCCTCAACCTATAGTTAAGTGTTGGCAGAAAAAATAGATATGAGAACCAAGCTTCCCAATAACAACAAATCTTGATACGAGCTAGGAGTTCGACTTTGACTTACCACATCATTCCGGTTGTTTCGAGCCATCCTTGCACAAAAGCCCACCATATCATGATAAGAGCCCGCATCAATAGATTGTATCTTCATGGAGGAATAAGTAGGCAGGTTGTACCCAATAGTCGCAAGTTTATTCACACATGCTAGGACACCATATTTTTGTGCAATAAGCTGATCTGGTGCCTTTCTTCCCACCTCTGAGATTTGTACAACACCACCTCTACCCCTCCTAGTTGCAATGGAAAAGCCAACTCGACATCGCATCAATCGACCATTGTCTACCTCAAAGCATTCAACATCGACTTCATCAACCCCGAAATATGAGTGTCTCTTCAAGCCAAATGAGTTGGCCAATTCTCTACGGTACATTTAAGAAACACATTAATTTATTGGAAACATTACAAAGAAAATATACATATTCGACACATTAATTTATTGGAAACATATAGAGTTGCTTACTATGCTTGGTTGATTAATGGGTACATTCGGCAACACTACTGGAACGAATACCCTCCACGATATGTAGCCAGACTTCCAGCGGAGGAAGACGAGGTCCAACCATCTCTTCTCACAAAAGTCAATATATCAAAAATCATATCAACACATGACTATCCAAAATGTATATCTAAAGTTATAGACATCCAATAATAATGATTTTGAACTTTATAGAAAGCTTATTAAGTTATCTATAACTTTGTTATTACCATCTCAAGATGATTCCATAGTTAACTAGGCCAAACATTACAAAGAAGCATTACTATTCAGATTTGGGCAGATTCTATCATCCAACTTTTGACATCTATAACTCATAAACCAGCAGTTCTAAAATCATGAAATTTTAAGACATCCAAGATATAAAAGTTATCTACAACTTTTGTATTCATCACATTCAGAGAAAAGATAATTTGCATCAAGAAGTTATCACTATAACAGAAACTACACATGCAGCCATTTTAGCACACATGTGTAACCAAGTTCTTCACTTGGTTCATTAGCAAACATCTCATTTTGAGCCAAGATTTTTATGGATGATAGGTGATGACAAAACATGACTACTGTAAAAAGATTATATGCTTAGGTTTTATAATTTAATTATCACAAAGAAAACAAGTTTTAATTATAAATAAGTTTGTGAGAGCATAATAAATTTAGAGGTCCACATTTTCTGTAAATACATGATCCTATTAAGTGTTCTTACCGTACAACAACATGATGCAAAGGCAGTGAAACAACATTTCCTATTTTTACACACTTATATTATTTATTATAAACCATTCAACAAGCAGTACACAAGTTAAATCAATAACTCAGCCATACATGCACCAATAAATCTAAAATTTTTATCACAGCACAAGCATCACATGAGTAGCATACCATAAAAATTTCACATCAAAATAAGCACTACAACTACAGATATGAATTTAACCCTAAAAAGCATGGATGCACACAAGTTAAATTCATATATGAAATGTGGAGTCATAGTTCCCTTCTCCAATGCCACTGACCTTGAGAGCTTAGTTTCACACAG